ATGTCTTCATCACTCTATATGTTGGTCTCCATACCTACCAACCAGGAGAACCATCGGAGCAACCATCGGGAGCCAGATCGGGACAACCGTCGGGACAAGAATCGGGACAACCATCGGGAGGACCATCGGGACACATGTCGGGACAGCCATGTACCAAGTGGCTTTCGGTCTCACGATCGATGTGTCGCACTATTGGTAGATCGTTTCCACTAGCATAATAGGTATGTGAATACAGCTCTACCTATATATACCTTAGAAGCGACATATAAAACAACTATATATATAAATATCATGTATGTACGAGCATATATGTATATGACCGTCTGCCATGCAGACATCCATCCGTCAATCATGCAAATAACGATATCGATAAACACCATAATCCTGCCTGCCCACCGCACTATCAATCTATATACATTCGTATACATCTATGTATGTGGATAAATGTGTATGTATGCCAAACTCACGATCTATTGATTGGCATCACAATAGGGACAACCATCGGAACAACCGATCGGGAAAACCATGGGGACAATCATCGGGACACCCATCAGGAACACCATCGGGACAACCGTCAAAACAACCGTCGGAACAACCGTCGGGACACACATTGGGACAAGCATCCGGACAAGCACCAGGACACGCATCGGGATCAACATCGGGACGTGCATCGGGACAACCACGGGAACAACCACTGGGACATCCATCGAAACACCAACGGGACATCCGTCGGGACAATCAGCGGCAACTGGCAGTAACCGGCCGCGCGGGGCGATCCTTCCTGGCCTGACATGGCAAGAACTGGCAAGAACTTGGTCGGCTTCGTCTCGCCTCGCCCGCACGCGCGTCCCACACGAAACCAAACGATTTCGCGCTTTGGGCACCTCACGTTTCACTTCAGTCTGACCCCCCCACCAGCCTTCGATGATATGATCGTGCGCGCCAATACGAAGCACGCAGCCGATCATTGCACAAAACAGCTCCCGAGAGCGTAGCAGAGCCAGTCATTGTATAAAGCAGGCTTCATTTCACGCCGTCGCGAAGCACAACATGTATATTTACAAGCGGCACTTTAGTTTCGGTTCGACAAAACGTTTGCGTAGCTTTTTGGGATACTTCCGAATTGCCGCTGCGTTGAATCACTTTGTATCCGCCGACGGCAGATCGCAGGGGGTGAGAAGCCGTGTCGGATGATTGGCTGACACCCTTCCCCAATTTCCCCCTTCCCTGGGGTCGGAAATCCCATTCGAGGGGCGTAGGGGGGGCAGGAGCTTGTCGACGCTCCTCAGGAGCAACCCTCCGTAGACGTCAAGATGCCTAAGATGGTCTCTAAGATGGGTCCAAAAGAGCTCCAAAAGAGCTTAAACGCGCCGGAGAAGTCTCAGGAACGCCCAAGATAGCCTCAAGACGGCCCAATCTGCCGCAAGAGGGCTCCAAGGCGACCCTCAAGGGGGCGAGGCGACAATCATCGATGTTCCATTTGTTTTTTGAATGTTCTTAGTGTTCTCACCTTTATCAGCGTCTGCAAGCCCAAAGCGGCGCGAGGGGCCCCCCGGACAGGCCGAAGACTGCCCAAATGGCCCCCAAAAAGACACAGAGGCGTCCCAAGAGGGCCCCGAGACGGCCCAAGAGGATCCCAAGACGGCACACGAACCCTCAAGAGGGCGCCAAGAGGGGCCCAAGAGAAACCCAGGAGGGGGAACTCGAATTGGCGCCGGGAGCCCTCACCGACAAGATGGCCCCAAGGGCCCGCAACTTGCTCCTAAGAGGCCCCCAAGAAGCCCTCGGAGGGCCCCCCAAAGCCTCTTGAAGCATCGGAAAGCTCCAAGTGGCTGCCCACTAGGCCTCCGAAAGGCCCCGAAGAAATCACGCGATTGCCGCGGACGATGGTGTCGCAGCAGACTGTTTCTAAGCAAGTTGCATATGTGTTGCATTGCGTTAGCGCATCAAGAAACGTGGGCGACTGTCCATAGCACTGTGTTGCATTGTTCTGCGCTCGATTGTCGCTCATGTAGCATTGGATTCTCATTAGTTGTGCGTGTTTGCCCATTGCGTCTGCGTTATTGTTTGTGTTGCCTTGGCGCTTAGATTACTTTGAATAAGCACTGCGTCGCGTTGGTGATGCATTGCAACCGCCTTGTGCTTACATCGCTTTCGCATTGCATGTGCCTCAATACCACAACTACACCACCATTTTTGGCACGCCATTGCAATCACGGTGCTGCTTCTATATGCGAACAAAAATCTGGACGCACAACTTTGTACCGTGAGACGACATGCCATATTGAGATTGCTACTAATACGGATTTTCGCGATGCTTGGGGCTGCTACCAAATAGTCGGTTCTGGGTTCGAGATGGCATGTATCCCTGTCGCGGCGCCCCCTCGTGGAAGGCCCAAGTGCGATGCGGACATGTATGGGCCTAGTGTGGGAGCGAGCGATTTGGTATGCGTGGGTTCGAGCATGATTGAACCTGATGATGCGTGAGAAGAGCTGGTGCGAATAGGTCCGAGTGTGGGTGGGCCTGAGCGTGAGCAGCTTGAAGTGAGCGTGTGAGCGAGGAAGTGCAGCGGAGGCGTCTATTAACAATAGCCCCATCTGCGTAAACTGGAAGAAAACAATCAAACTGTGAACTGACGGCATCAAGGTCGACCTGTCCCCCCTCCTCGTCAACATCCGTCAACTCTGGGTAGGAGGTGAACAGTCGGGGAAGGGAAGGGAGAGGAAGGTGCAAAGGGGGCGGGGGGGAAGGCCAGTGGGCGGGAAGGCGGCAGGCGGAAGCGAGAGAGGGGCGAGAACGAGCAAGGGAGAGAGGGCTTGGAGGAGGGAGGGGGGAAGGAGGGAGGGAAGGATGGGAGGAGAAGAGATGGCGGGATGGAGCCAGGGAGGAGTGGAGGCAGGGAGGGAGGCGGAGGGAGGACGGATGAAGTAAGTCAGGGAACGAAGACAGGTTTGAGAGGGACTGGTCGACGCTGATGCCCGGTATGCCGCATCCACTGAGGACACGGGAGCGAATTCGAGTGACATGCTGAGCAAGCCAGTTCATCCTCGTCGTTCTCCACCTGGTCTCCTGATTCCCAAAATTCGCCCCTTCCTGATGTGACAGCCGCACATGCATACACTATGGTATGCGGGCCTTCGCCCGAAACGTCGTGTACATACTTGATTGAACGCCTCACGCACAACCCTACCCTGAAAAAATCCCACTACACTGCGGCCCATGGCGATTGAGACTACTTTAGCTTCATGCTCATGCTCTTGTCCTCGACCGCGCCCACTCCCAATCCCACTTCCTCATAGGCTCACAGTGCAACTACTCGTCGCACCACTGGACGTGTCGGCACGGCGGCCTGGGATGCCCGCCGTTGACTCCTCGCCGCCTGGGGCCCAGGAGCTTCATCTCCCTGCAGATACACGGGCGGGGGGTAGGGTGTTTGAAAAGTGTGGGTCTCGCCTTGAGATGTTTGTTCCCTAGATATCGGGGCGGACTTCTTGTGATTTCCCATATCCTAAGATGGGGTCCCTGTTATGACCTAGGCGGCTCCGAGAGAACACTCCTCACCCTCGCCAATTCCTCTTCCTCTTCTTCCGAACTCACACTCGCTCATACGCAGACCCCCCATCATTCCGACTCACTCATACTCAGACTCACTCACACTCCGACTCACTCATCACTCACACGCATGCTCACTCACATTCAGGCTCACTCACACTCACATGCAGACTCACCGGTACTCAGGCCCATTCACACTCAGACTCAGTCTCACTTAGGATTAGTCGCATGGAGACTCACTCGCAAGCAGACCCACTGACACTCAGACCCACTTGTACTCAGATTAACTCACGCCCATTACTCCTTTCATACTCAGACTCGGACTCACTAAGACTCACACCCAGAACGTGTACAGCAATTGGTGAGGATGTCTCAGGCGAGGCGCTGGTTTCAGCACTCCCAAAGGGCGGGCGCCAGGAGGCATCGGGCCTGGTCGCGCCCATGCAGTGGGGATGCCTCCAGCGGGCTGCCCGTGCGCGTGCTCAACATCATTTGCTGTCGGAGGATGTTGCAAGGAAGTCTCAAGCCAGGCGCTGGTTTCAGCACGGGCTAAGGGGGATCTCAGGTGCCCATTCGCGCCCCGATTGCGGGGATGTCTCCAGCGATTTGTCCTTTCGCGTGCTCAAGCTCCTCTGCTTTCGCAGCCGTTTGCGAGAATGTCTCAAGCGAGGCGCTGGCATGCGCACTCCCAATGAAGACGCCAGGGGGGTATCTCACTGTTTCGTTCGCGCCCAGATTGTTGAGATGTCACAGGCGGTGTTCCAATTCGCGCGCTCAACATCGACCGGTGTCGGAGCAGTACGTAATTATAATGTCTTAGGCGAGGCTCTGGTCTCAGCAATCCCAAGGGGGACCGCAAGGGGATATCTCAGGGGCCCGTTCGCGCCCAGAGTATGGCGATACCACAGGCAGTTTGCCCGTTTGCGTGCTCAGCAGCCTGTTCCTTTGGAGCAGTTGGTGAAGACGTCTCAGACAAGGCACTGGTGTCAGCATTCCCAAACGGGGGTCGCCAGAGGGGGTACCTCACGGGCCCGTTCGCGTCCAGATTGTCGGGGTGTCTCATGAAAATTGCCTGCTTCGGCCACCCAGGCCACCCAAATTTGTCTTTGGATTTGTGCTACCTTGACGCATCCGGACCTCACCCACTCACTCACCTCCTCCCCCCCTGTCCAATTCAGGCGCACTCCAAAATACTTACCAGCGCCTGTACCGAGATTCGCTCACACGCAAGCTCACTCAAACTATGACCAACTCACACTCGGCATGGACTGCCTCACAAGCAGATTCGCCAGCATTCACTCACTCATACTCTGGCGCCAACCCATCATTCTCGTACGCGGACTCACTCACGCTCAGATCCACTCACAGTTCTCTCTGTCGTTGTTGCTTGATCTCGCTTCCATGGAATAATCATTGTTAGTCCCCCCTTCGCGGTAACCGCTGCGTTCTTCGAATTAAGGATCATCTCCAGGGGGTCGCACCCTGCGCTGTACAAGGGAAAGTGACATGTCACCAAACTGGACCCCTGGCCTCCGAGTTACAACAACAATTGATCCCGCTCTTGCGCGGGACTTCCCCACAATGTATACCGGAATCGCGCTCTCGCCTGGGACTTTCACGCAATGTATTCAGATGCCGCGCCCTCGACACTCAGGAATCACGCTCTCGATGTGGATGTCCTCACGATGTACTTGGGAATGGCGGAACCGCTCGAGACTTCCTCGCGATTCATGCAGGACCCACGCTTCAGCAACCCGCCTCCTCGACCTGGCCGCCTTGGCCCGCCCTCCCACCCCGCCCGTTGGGGCCTACCCGCCCGAGCTGCCCGTCTGGTTCTGCCACCTGTTTTCTGCTCCTGGCCCCCCTCCTCCTACTTTCTCTCGTGCTCCATCCTCCTCCATCCCCCTTGTCCCCTCCTTCCGTCCGTCCTCTCTTTCACCCGCCTTGCGAAATGCACGTTGCAGATAAGAAAAATATGCCCCAAAGTTGGGTACGATCGAAAACGAGTCTCAGACAAGGCGCTGGCGTTTGCACTCCCAAAAATGGGCGCCAGAGGAGTATCTCACGGGCCCGTTCGCGCCAAGATTGTGGAAATATCTAGTGCAAATTGCCTGCTTCGGATACCAAAGTTTGTCTTTGGATCTGTGCTACCTAAACGCATCCGAACCTCGCTCATTCACGCACCTCCTACTCATGCGCCCCATTCAGACGCGCTCCAACGACTGCACCGCGCCCTGGTACCCCCAGGCCTCTGGAATGCTCTTCTTGGGGCCCTGCACCCGACAATGACGCCCCTCAAACCGACAGGTGCCGCAACCTCGCGCCCAAGCATGCCCCAGGCCTCTGGAACGCTGTTCCTGGGGCTGTGCGCCCGACAGTTCCGCTCTTCAAACCGACCGCTGCCCCCCACCGCGCCCCAGCGCCCCATCCTGCGTACCCTGACGCTGCCACCCGACAGTCTGACCAGCTCTTTGGGCGTAGGAAGGTTAAGGAGTTGATTTGGGGGGCGGGCTTCCCCCCCTGCTCGGGGAAAGGGTTTATCCCTCGTGCTTGGAGGAAGGGTTGACCTCTCCCCTGGGTTCGGAGGAAGGGTCTCCCCCTCCCCCTCCCCCCTCGCCTGGGTTCGGCCGGGCGCTGCGCGGGTGGGTAGAGCTTCAAAAAACGCTCAAGATGGTTCTCAGAGGGCCTCAGATAGGCCCAGATGGCCTCCAAGATGGCCCAAGATAGCCGAACATGGTTCAAGATAGCCTCCAACAATCCTGCAAGACGCTCCACGACAGTTTCAAGTGCCCTCCGACCATTCCAAGCCACCCCCAAAGAAACCATGGAAAATCAATGTGTGTTGGCCTTTTCGCCTTTTCACATCCGATCGGCGCTTGAGGCTCCAAGATGGCCCCAAGATGGCCCAAGAGAGCCTCAAGAACAGCCCAAGATGTGTTCCAGACGCCCCTTGAGCGTTCCGAAAGCGGCCCGAGAGGGCCGCAAGACGGCATGTGTGAGCTTCCGAGGGGGGGACCTGAATTGAGCCCCCCCCTTTGTTGAGCCATGGGGCCCAAGAGGCCTCCCACAACCCTCAACTGAGCCCCAAGCGGGCCTCAAGAGCCCCAAAATGAGCCCCAAGAGGGCCCCAGGAGTGCCTAAGAGGCCCCATGGGGACCCCAAGCGAGCTCCGAAGATGGCCTTGATCGTCCTCCAACAACCTATCGCAACAACAGACCTCCAAAGCCCGACTGCCCATCATCCTTGTCATCGTCCGCTCCTTCCCACCTCCTTTCCTTTTTCCTCCGTCATCCTCCTCCCTCCTCCTCCTCCGGCCGAAAGAAAGGGAGACGACAGAGGCGGGCCAGCAAGCAGCAGCAGGGGGCGAGGCAAGATGGTCCGCATGACTCAATATAGCCTCCGACAGACATCGACGAGGCCTCAAGATGGTCCAATATAGCTGAGCGTGGCTCAGGGTAGCCTCCAACAGCCTCTAGCCGAGCACGGCTCAAGAAAGCCTCCAAGAGGCCTCGAGAAAGCATCCGACCGTGTCTGGGACGACTGGTGGGGATACTTGTTTTGAACGCGAGCGCAAACGGAAGGGCCGCGCGCCGTCAAAAGCTACAGCTAACAAGCAGGAGCCTAAATTGCACACAACTGATGGGGATATGCGAAGCGTCCGCGTTTCCCCTTGCCCTGCTATTCTTTACAAACCGCCGATCCCAGAAGCGACGCAAAAATTCGTCGCAGCCCTGCTACCGCGACAATCCGCCGATTCCAGCGGCGTGACAGAGACCCACTGCGCCCCGTCGTCCCCAAGCCTCTGGCATGCTCTTCTTGGGGCTCTGCACGGGCCGACTCGCGCCTCACACACAGACCCATGCCCCCCCCCCCGGGCCCTAGCACCCCCAGGCCTCTGGAATGCTGCTATTGGGGCCCTGCGCTCGACAATCCCCCCCCCTCAAACCGACCTATGCCGACCGCCGCGCCTCGGATTCCCCATGCCTCTGGCATGCTGTTTTTGGGGCCCTGGACCAAATGATTCCGATGTTCCTGACTGCCCCCCCCCGCCTCCCCAGGCCAATGGAATGAATGCTCTTCTCGGGGCCCTACACCCGACAATTCCGCCCCTCAAACCGACCAGTACCCCCCCACCGCGCTTCAGAAAATCCAGGCCTCTGGAATATTGCTCTTGGGGACCTCTACCCAACAACGCCGCCGCCCCTCAAACCGACAGAAGCCCCCGCCCCCCGCCCTGGCATCCCCAGGCCCCCGGAATGCTGTTCTCGGGGCCCTGCATCCAACAATTCCGTCCCCTCAAGCCAACCGATACCCCCCGCCGCGCCCCAGCATCCCCGGGGCTCTAGAATCATGTTCTCTACCGCGCCCCGGCATCCCTAGACCTCTGCGGCCCTGCACCCGACAATTCCGCCCCTCGAACCGACCGATGCCCTTCGCCGCGCCCCTGTATCCCCAGGCCTCTGGAACGCTCTTCTTGGAGTCCTGCACCCGACAGTTCCGCTTCTTAAACCGACCCGACCGATGCCCCAACCGCGCCCCAGCATCCCCAGGGTTCTGGAATGCTCTTTTGGGGGCCTTGCAATACTTGTGCACCTCGAACCGACCAATACCACGCGTCCCCAAGCCTCTGGAATGTTGTTCTTGGGGCCCTGCACCCGACAATTCCGCCCAGCCGACCGAATCCCGCCGCCGCGCCCCAGCATCCCAAGTCCTGAAGCATGCTGTTCTCAAACAGACTGGTGCCCCACAACGCGCCCCGGCATCCCTAGGCCTCTGGAGTGCTGTTCTTAGGGCCCTGCACCAGACGCTGCCGCCCCTCAAACCGACCGAGGCCCCCCACCGCGCTCCGGCGTCCCAAGGCCGCGGGTGCCTGCACCCCACACTTCCGCCCTTCAAGCCGACCGATGACCCCCCCCGCGCCCTGGCATCCCCACGCTTCTAGAATGCTGATGTTCGGGCCCTGCACCCATTCCGCCACTCAAACCAGTCGATATTCCCCACCGCGCCCCAGCATCCCCAGGCCTCTGGACGGATGATCCTGACGCCCTGCACCCGACAATTCCGCTCCACAAACCGACCGATACCCTGAACTGCGCCCCGACATCCCCAGGCCTTTGGAATGCTGTTCACGGGGCTCTGCACCCCACAATACCGCCCCTCAAACCAACCGATGCCCCCCATTGCGCCCTGGCATCCTCAGGCCACTGGAATGCTTTTCTTGGGGCCGTGCACCTGACAATTCCTTCTTTCAAACCGACCGGTATCCCCCACCGGTGCCTGGCAGCCCCAGGCCTCTGGCACTTTTTCTTAGGCGTCTGCAACCGACAACCCCGCACTTCACGCCGCCCGATGCCCAACACCACGCCCTGGCATCCTCAGGCCTCTGGAACGCTGATCTTAGGACCCTGCACCTGACAAGTCCGCCCCTCAAACCGACCCATGCCCCCAGCCACGCCCGGGCATCCTCGCGCTCTGAACCTCTCTTCTTATAGGAACCCGCTCTCGACAATTCCTGACCCCAAACTGACCCCGACCCCCACTTAGCCAGAACCAACGTCTGTCCTGATATCCCCACAACCAACAAATCCTGGCTCGGAATTGGTAAATGTGTAGATGCATCCTTACCTTTGTTTAACGTATACATGAACGCCCGTACGCATATGCATACCTGAGCTTGTGAATATCAACGGGCGGCTACGTCGTAGCGCTGGATCTGGCATCGCAGTAGGATCGACACTGCTGTACCGAGCCCATCGTTGCTCGTGCACGCGGCTGGACAGCCCCACGTGATGTCACGTGGCCCGGCGGACATATGTGTCCGAGTTCGGATGCCGGAAAAGACGGAGGCAGGGGCCGAAGGGGGGGCGTGTGCCGAGGAGCGGCAGAGGCAGCCGCACGTGGAGGCAGCTTCCCTCTGTCATGCTCACAGTTTCACCGAGCCTGTCTCAGCCCTGCCACCGAGTCAATCCACCACGCGAGGACGTTGCTGCCCATGCGTTGGGGAAGCAGCCGAAGGTCGTGCAAAGAGAGGCCAAGCCGGTAATTGTTCAGGAGCGTTGCCCAGAACTATCAGGGGCTGGGAAACAGTGCATATCTATATATACACGACGGGCGCCCTCGCTGTTGTCGTCGTCGGCGCCGCCCTAGAGAAGAACAACCCTCCGCCCCAACTCCGTCATCACCCCGAGTGCCCCCATGCTCGTCATTCTCACGCCCCACCCCATCCCGTCCACCATCGAAACCAGCTGCATCCGTTCCAACGGCAGCGCGATAATCACGTGGGCGCGATGAACCGCAATCGTGCCCCCTGGAACGTGGAGGCGTGCTACAATGCCCCATACTCCATGGAAGGCCTTCCGCAGACTGCAATTCACGTCAGCATTTGGTCGGCGGCTGAGGCGCCAGCCTTTCAATAAGAGAACAATATGTTCCGCGGCGAGCATTTTTGAATCGAATTGAACGCCCCGGGGGCTCACAAGCACGAAAGGCGAGTCCACATCAGAATGCGGTTCCCAATCATCAGCGTGGAAGGGCGGTTCCTTTTGACAGTGTGGCTCTCGCCCTAGCGCCGCGCACGATTGTGCGACAAGTGCCAAACAGTCATATGGATGGGGTGGGTGGCTTCTTTTCTCAGGGCTATCGCTTCGTAGCTTCCTAGGTGCTACTTCAGGAGCATAACATGCACCACAATGTCACTCAACTGAAGGATCTTCTTACTCAGCAGTCGGGCTCTCGCTTGAGACCTCATCAACAAGGCCCGGCGTACAGCGTTGTGAGGCACTTCCGCCGATGGAGGGCGCGCTATTTTTCGAAACGAGCCTCCCGCTGGACACATCTCTCATTGTCTGGTCCTGCCTCTTGGCATTCCTCGGGGCGGTCCCTTTTCCAAACGGAACGGTCGCCCGACTGGCAAGTATGTTGGGCGCTCGTCTTTCAAGGGGGGGGGCTTCCCGCAGGGAAGCGAAGTGTCTGTTCTGACTCATGAGAAGAGAACTTGGGACGGGAAGGTGCGTTACACTATCGTTTAAGCGTCCTGGGCTTTTCCTCGTCCTCCTCCGCTGGTCCGGGCCTCACGCATGTTCCTCCACCTCCACCTCCTTCTCATCTTTTCTCCCCCTGTGCCTCCTGCTGTTGTATCCTCATCATGTTCCTTCTTCTTCGCCTCCTCCTGCTCCAACTCCTTCCTCCCTTCCCCGTCCTCCTCCCCTCTCTCGATCTCTATCTCTCTCATTCTCTGTCTCCCTTAACATATTTCGTCTCGTTCTCCCTCAGTCCCTCCTCCTCCTCCTCCTCCTCCTCCTCCTCCTCCACCTCTCTCCTCCCTGGGCTCCTCCATTATCCATTACTCATTATCCTCCTCCTTCTCCTGATCCTCCTCCAACTCCTCCTTGCCATCCTCGATTCTGGAGCTGTCCAGAAGCCAAGAAGCCCCAGTCTCATGCGCAAGCGCACTAAAATTTTCAAACGCCAGACCGCGCAGGCGTAACCAATCGTCAGAATTGGCAAAACGAGAGATAGAATGCGTGCGTGACTGAAGCCGGTGGCGGTGACCATTCCCCACTTATCGGGCGGGGCGGCTGCAACGCTGGCGGCACGGGGCCCCAGCGGCAGAGGAGGAGGTTAGGAGAAGGGACAGGCGAAGAAGGGACGAGGGAAGACGGGAGGATGCCTTGTCCCCCTTGTCCTGGTCCTAATCCTCCTCCGCCTCCCCCTCCTTCCTCCTCCTCCTCCTCCTCCCCCTCCTCCTCCTCCTCCTGCTCCTCCTCCTCCTCCTCCTCTTCCTCCTCCTCCTCCTCCTCGTCCTCCTCCTCCCCCCTCCTCCTCCTCCTCCTCCTCCTCCTCCTCCTCCTCCTGCTCGTCCTCCTCCTCATCCACCATCCCATCTCTTTCATAAGCAACTCAACCCTGTCGCACCCCCCAGACGTGCTGGCAGGGCGGACTGGGCGTTTCGCCTGGAACGTCCACGCCATCTGTAACCCTGAAGCTCGACATCTGCAACAGTTCCACTGATGGATTGCGAATATATTTGGCTCACTCTCGCCTTAGCACCGCGCACACTCGTCACACAAGAACGTACCATATTCAAAGATGGAGGGCAAGTGGTTTTCAAAACATGGCTCTCGCCTGAGCGCCGTGAACGTTTACCTAAGAACTTGCGGCGGCGTCAAGGATGGGTGGCGGCTCCTTTCCAACCTGTAGCTCTTGACTTTGCGCTGCGCAATCGCGTTACAAACACTTGCGGCAGTTTCACGGATTCGAGCGTTTGAGGTCCCAGGAATTGTGTTCTGGCACGTTTTAGGATGTCGGGGCGCAACAAACACGTTACGTTGAACAGCTGCGTTAAAGTCCCAGGAATCGTGTCCTGGCGCGATGTGGGACTGCAAGGACGCAACAGTCACGTTGATCCTCGGCGTTGAAGGTCCCGGAATGGTGTTTTGGCACGGATGGGGTTTCTCAGACAGTATAATGGGCCACGTCCTGCATTGAACATGATGTATTGAGGGAGCTTGGAGGGTTTGTTGCAACTTCGTTGGTACGTCTTGGGTTCGCACTGGTCCTCCTCCTTCTCCGCCTGATCCACGTCTCCTTCATCCGCCTGTCGGTTATCCTACCGTCCTCCTCCTCGTTCTAACCTTCCTCAAGCGTCTCCTCCTGCAGCTGCTCTCCTTTCGGTTGAGGGGAAAGAGTGGGCTCTTCATGCTCTGCTCAAAGAGGGGAGAGGAGAGTGTAGTGGAGGAACGGACAATGATTGACGAGTCTGCCTGCCTCTGAGGAGGCAACTCCCAAGACACAATCAAATTAATGACCACGACGCACCAGAGCTCCAGATGGGGGGCGACCGAGCGTGAACTGGACTGAGGAGCGTACCATCGAGCGCTATATAATGCCAGCCAAAACGTGAACCTACTCTCGGCCGACCAGGCCGGTACGTCTCAGCGCCCTTAACCGATGGCAGCGCAAACTGTATCAAGTCCAGCATTACCACACGCACGGGTAGCAGTGGTTCGAATTCTGCACATTTAAACTGCAGCCGCCTTTCTGGGGTGTCCACCCGACATTCAGGTGCCTAGCAGAAGATGAACAGGCAGACTGAGGAGAGGGGAGGGCACACTGAAGAGGACAACTAGGAGGAGGAATGGAGGAAGCGGTGGCGGATAAAGCGGGAAAGGATGTGTAGGCAGATGAGAGAGAGGAGGACGAGGAGCAGCAGCTGGATGTTGTGTCGGGAGGGGGAAGAGAAAGAAGAGAAGCGAAAACACGAGGAGAAAGATGATCAAGGGTAACAGCCAGAAGGTGGTGGGGGGCATGGGGAAAGACGACTGGAGGGGTGGTGGGGTGTGGGGGGGTGGAGCTGTAGGAGCGCTTTGGGGGAGGTGCGTGTGTGTATGTGTGTGTGTGAAGACCTGAATGGTTTGAGTCTGCCTCTCTTCCTCCTCCTCCTCCTCCTCCTCCTCCTCCCACGGCGGCTGCTTTGCCCCCCCGAGCCGCTCGACCGGCATGCGCGCTCGCCGGGGCTGCGGTCGAAACCGTCTGTTGGAGTGTGTATGTGTGCTCGCCCCGCTCACTGTGGTTCGACTTACACCGCCTCGTCGCTGCGCGCGAGGCCCCTACCGCCAAAAAGTGTGTGTGTGTGTGTGTTTCTAGTTGGATGGGTGAGGGGGGGGGGAGCGCGAGAAGGAGAAGGACGGGGAGAGCGACGAGGAAAAGCAATATTGGGAGGAGATGAGGAGGGACGGAGAGCCGGCGGAGAGGAGGGCAATACAATTCTCATCATCATCATCATCATCATCATCATCATCATCATCATCATCATCATCATCATCATCATCATCATCATCATCATCATCATCATCATCATCATCCACCGAGTCTCATATATATATATATATATGTGAGAAAGAGCGGCAAGGCCAGCGAGGAAATCACTGCGGAAACGGAGTTAAGAGCTCTTGAACCAGGGTGGGAGCTTGGCATCGAGGAGGCAGTGGAGGGAAATAAGGAAGAGGATGATGAGGATGGGGAGGACAACAAACAGGGCGGGGAAGGAAGCCGAAGAGGAGTCAATAACGGAGGAGGGAGGAGGCTCGAGCGAGCGAGCGAGTTGGCGAATGAGCGAGCAAGCGAGGAACAGCAAGAGCAGGATGAGACTGGAGGAATATCAGAGGATGGAGACGGAGCAGCAGCAGAACGGATATGACCAGGATGTTGAGCGCATGCGAGCAGAACGGGGGAAGGAGGGGGAGGAGGGTGCCGAGGAGGATAACGGAAGAGCGGCGAGGAGGAGGAGGAGGAGGAGGAGGAGGAGGAGAGTCACTGAGCACCACCGCCCATCCGCCGAAAAACGAAATGCCACCAGACTGCTTCACAGCGCGCGCTGCCCCAGGCCCACCCCCAGGAGGCCCATTCCCTGCGATGGTCTCTCCGCCGACAGGGCCCTGCCCATGGAAGCCACGGAGCGGGATCGAAATGAGGCATGGCGTTCTCTGTGCCGCCGCCCTCGTCCGTCCCGCGGCACCGGCAAACTTGGCTTCGGCACGATACTGGAGCAAATCCACTCCACATCGCCGTCGAACGGGAAAACAACAAAATCCAGGTGCCCGACCGATCTGCTCGACATCTACGGCGCTCGCTTCGGCCCATCTATATACTGCCAGGGAGGAGCCACAAATCCTCTGGACAAAGGCCCGTGGCGCTGCTCCTTGCCGTTCCGATCTTGCAAGACCAGCTGCGGCCCCCTTCGGCGTCAACGGCCTATAGCGCTCCGCCGCGATGGTCCAGGCCTCGCCGCGCGGGTTCGATGCGTTCACCCTCTGCATGCCGCTCGGGTCGCCTGCCGGCCCAACGGATGGCGGGAGCGGTGCCTGCCGTGGCTACAGCTCCAGCGCCTTCCCCCTCCCAGTCGCCCCTCCTGGTGAGGCCGACCAGCTCCTACTCCTCCTTCCTGCCGCTGTCGAGGACAGATGGCCTACTGCAGCGCCGTGGGCCCGCAAGGCCTCCAACGCCACCAGCTTGGCTCCATCCCCTCCCCTGCCAGCGCCGTTGCCATCGCATTTGCGCCAACACGCGCCTGCGCCTGCTCGGCGCTGCAGCCTCACGCACCCAACGTGGAACTCGCCCACAACCGTCCTCGCACGCCACGCCCCCAAGCGGAACCCGATCGGCACGGGAATCCGTGAACTCCTCCTGAGAGCCCCCAAACACGCCGATCGGGTCCAAGACGGAGCCGTCCTCGCCCGCTGCCAGGCCCCGCCCGGGCCCACGAAGCCGAAGAAGAGCTCGTGCACATCCCCCATCCTATACTTCGAAGGGCAACAATGGGGGGACTCGGCTTAGGGGGGAAATATCGAGCAGAAATCGGCGTCACATCGAACATCGAATTCGCGATAGGCCCCCGATAGCGAATCTGCACGTCCCTGTGCGGGGTGGGATAGCGGGCCCCACCTCGGCGATCAATGGGCGATCAAGGGTCGATGCATCACGCATCACCCCTGAGCCTATCCTCCGCTAACGTTGCCCATGACTGCTTCGGAGAGCGAAAGTGCCCAAATGTCACGTGGGCGGATGTCGCCAGGCGGGTGCGCCGGCGCCCGCCGCTCGTCGCCACACAGCCCGACCTGCTTCGCCAAGTCGCCCTCGCCTGAGAGGAACAGCGCATCCCCCATGTCCTGCGTGGCCGCATGCCTCGGCAACGTGATCAAGTGCCGCCCAGCGAGCTGGGAATGCCTCTCGCCGCCCGTAGCATCTCCTGAAACTCCATCGGGGACCCTTCCGCGCTGTTACCCGACGCGAATTACTCCATAAAGTCTCTCTGGGCATCCAGTCGAAGGCCACGCACCAGGCGTGGCGCACCGTGATGCATCGCCTCATGCTACCACTCGCCCAGACTGCCCCTCGGGGAGCTGCGGTGCGTGAGCGTGCTAAGAACACACGAGCCCTAGCCCAAATGGCTACTGAGGGGTTTGAGGAAGAAGAGGGAGAGGTGGTGGCGGAACAGGAGGGGGTGAAGGGACGCGGGGGGAGATGGAGCAGGGGAAGCGAGATCAGGAAGGAGAATTCTGAAACATTCGGGGACGACGAAACCGAGAAACGCCAGCTGGGACGTGGGAACAAACAGGAGGCGGAAGGAGGCGGAGAGGAGGCAGAAGGGGGAGGTGCAGAGAAGGGAAACGAAGCTCGAAGCACTGGGGGCGCAGAACATGATCGAACCAGGACTCGATCGCACGAGCTGGCGCGCGCAGCGCACCCGCGGCCCTTATATAGCCTGCCGGGCGCGAGAGGCGCACGGCGCCTCGAGGCCCGCCTCCCGCTGTAACTTGCTGTGTCTGATGGCGGAGGGTGGGGATGGAGAGGAGGGGGCGGGACGAGTATGATAAGAATCTCGGCGGGGACATGAACATCCGTTGGAGGGTTGACAAGGACAGGGGGGAAGAGGACGGGGTGCGGATGAGGAGGAGGATGGAGGGGACGACGAGCCGCGGCATGAGGCGCAGGAGCACGATCTGGCAAAAGGAGGGAGAAGCCTGAGGGACGAGCAGGGGCGGCAAGGACGAGGAGGTGAACGATGAGAAGGAGTAGGATAACTAACAACTGCCACAAGTGGAAGAGGAGGAGAGAGAGTTGGAGGAGGACGAGAAGAAGGAGGTGAATAAATTGGGAGGGAGACCGGTGGACGACGGAATCGACGATAACGACGACGTGGGCGATGGGGACGGAGGATGAGGAGGGAGAAGGAAGCGGCAGCAAGAGAAACAATCGGATTAACAGAAGATACAAAATGAGGAGCCTGAAGAGGCAAGTCCAACTCATGGTGTTGATGATCAGGAGGACGAGGCGGTGGAACAGGATGATGATGATGATGATGATGATGATGATGATGATGATGATGATGATGATGATGATGATGATGATGATGATGATATTGATGATGATGATGATGATGATGATGATGATGATGATGATGATGATGATGATGATGATGATGATGATGATGATGATGTTTGGGAAAAGAAGGCAGGAGGAGGATGGAGGGAGTAGGGGGGAGAGAGAGAGGGAGAGAGAGAGAGAGAGACAACAAAAAGAGAAAGAGAAAGAGAGAGATAGAGAGAGAATACCGATGACCGATGAGGGCGGGCCGAAGCTCGTCCGCTGGCGGAGGCTGCCAGCACCTCTTGCCCGCACCTCTTTGGCGGGGGGTGCCACATGTAGGTGGAAAGGGGTGGCAAAAAAGAAACCTCGCCCCTGGCGCGGTCGAACGAGACCCCGACTGTGAAGCAAAAGCGGGATGTGGCGAGAAAGACGAGACTCGCCCCTCTGGCACACGCAAGACAAGGGTCCGGCTTCACGCGCGCTGTGACCTGCGCGCCTCGGAGCCCTGAGAAGAGAAGGCGCCGCCCTGGGGCATCCCCCTCGGCGGCCCAGTGCCAGGTCCACCGAACGAGTTGAAGGGGTCTGGGCTGTTCCCGGATGCTGCGCAACGCGAGTGCGCGGCCGGAGGCACGCTGCTGCGGCGCCGTGATGCCTGAGGCTCGCGCGATGTCGCGGTCCTGGTGAGGCTGCGGCCTGGCCGTAGTGCTGCGTTGCGTGAGGGCACGCCTCCGAGCGGCACGCTGCACGGGTCTCGCTCGGCCGCCTACGCCCTGGTGGGTGGTGCTGGGGCCCCTGGTCCCCGTTCCCTGGTGGGCAGGGAAGCACTGCGTTGGGGGTTTGGGTGTGCAAGGGCACTGGCCAGCCCAGCAGGTTGGGGCAACGGAGCTGGCGACTGGGACGCAGGTCCGCGACCGCTCGCCTGCCATTGCGCAGGTGCTCTCCCAGGCGGATGGCGTTGCTGCCGAGACCCGTGGGACCTGCGAGACGTGTGGGGTCCAGAGGAGTGGCCCACGCTGGGGCGAGAGCGCCTTTGTTAACGACAGAGCCAGAACACCGATCCGACAGTGAGGCCCACGCTGGAGCGACAGGACCATTTTGAACACTGGAAGGCAATCGAATCATAAAAAACAACAACCAGATGCAACCGCCGACCCCCGCTCGCCGGGGACGCGAAGTTGTGTGAGATGGTTGGCTGTCCCCCTCCCCCTTTTCCCCCTCCCCTGGGGTCTGGAATCCTATTAAAAAGGGGGGCAGGAGGAAGGGTGGGTCTCCGATCTCCTGAACGCTCCCCTGGGGCATCGGGAGCTTTCTTTTCTGCACCCCGTGGATTTCAAACTGCCCGAGATTCCATCTGAACTTGCTCAAACTGGGCTTCAGCGCGCCAAGGACGCCTCCGAGTCAACCAAGATAGCCCCAAGACGGTCCAAGAATCCTCCAAGACATCCTTAGAGAACTCCAAGAGGACCTCCAATAATATGGCAGATGCGACCAACATCGCCCGAATCCCCAGAACAAATAATCCATTCTTTTGTATCGAACAGCGTCCAAAACGGCTCAAGAGGCCCCCAAGATCGCTCCAGGACGGCCCAAGAGTTTCCTGAGAGGGCCCCAAGACGGCCCAAAAGAGCCCCAATACAGACCGAGAGGTGCCCGAGACGGACCAAGAGAAACCCAAATGAGCGTCAGGAGGGGCTCAACAAGGAAACTCGAACTTCCATTTCGAAAACTCCGCCTCTAGAGGACCACCGATACTGACAGCATGCGCCCACCTGGCCCCAATAGGCTCGAAGAGGCTCCCAAGAGGCCCAACCGATGCCCCAATATGCCCCTTCAAACGGATTCCAAGAAACAAAAGGCCTCACTTGTAGACTTCGTGTCTCCTCCGGGGGCAGGCGCGCCCCTGACAACTTCTGAGAAGAGAGGAGGGTAGTATTCATGTTGAGCAGTTTTAGAAAAGAGAGAAGAGGACGACGAGGTGGAGGAGAAGAGAGAGAGTATATAAACACACAGGAGGTGGGACTGGCAGAGGAGGAGGACAGAGGAGAGAGGAGGACGAGGAGGGGCTGGAGGAGCAGAAGGGAAAGGAGGTGAGGGGCGCTGTGCTGCCGTCGCGGAGTTGGCCGGGGCTGGAGCAGCAACCGCTGGAAGCTGCTGGCGGGGGCCCCTTGGCGATCGCCACCAAACTCCCAAACGATGCGTCTCTGCATTTGTCGACGCCAAGCGTGCACCAGGCTTGTTCGATCAGCCTCGCACGCGGCTGGCGTCGTCCACTCTACCAGAGGCCTCCCAAATGGAGTCCGAGCAGAAGGGGTCGGAGGATCGCGCCGCGTCGCGGAAAAGCGTCGAGCCGCATCGCAGATGCTAGGGAAACGAAAAGGTGCCGATTCTGCTACTCCCCAGACCTCTCCCTGGGTGCGTTCTGACAAAGATCCCGAAGCGATTCCAGCCGTGGCGACGGTGACCACCAAGGCAGAGGCAATCCGCGCGCGCGTCCGAACGACGCCGGGGGGCGGAGTCGCGAATTAGCACGCATGCAAAGAGGGGAGAAGGAGATGAGGAGGCGGCCGCGGGAGAGGGCTTGGCGCGGGGGGGGCACTCACGCAGCGGGGCTGCGGCGGGTGCGTGGGCGCGGCCTGGCTGAGGGTCCAAACTGGCAGCAGCTGCGGGTCGGCGTCGCAGTGCGCCCAGGGTGGGAGGCCAGCAGCCACAGTGCGGGCGAGGCCCAGGGGAGTGGGGGGCTGAAAACCAGATGGCCGGCAGGGGGGGGGGGTCAGTGGATCGGAGCCGGCGAACATGGGGTGCACCAGAGCTCCAGCAGCTGCTGGGAGCCCAAGGGGGTGGATGGTGCGGCGGCCCCGATGCGGGAGCGACCGACGGGCACCCGTCGCGGGGCGCTGGGAAAGCAGGGGCGGGAGATCAAGCAGGAACGCCACCCCACAGCCGGCGCACGGCATCGCAGCAGGGAGTTACGCGCCGCCCAGAGCAATTGGCGCACGAGCGGGGCCCCTTAGAGTGAAGGCGACGAGCCCAGCTGGACGACTGGGGCCCCCTACCTCCCGCGAGCTCCATTCCAGATATGCGGCTAACTGCAGCGCGTGATGGTGGGGAAGCTCCCACCGGGCCTGGCAGACCGTCGACGAGACCTGGGTTGGCCACGCCGTGTCCCACAAAGCGCGGTGGAGGGCTCGGGTCGAATCCGTCGACGGACCGGGGGAAGCCTCAGAGAAACCTCCAGAGGGGGGAGCGGGATCGGCAAGAGGCATGCTTTCCAGGTCCCCCCCCCCTTTGAGTCGTGGCTCGCGCCACACTCTGGTGTCATAATTAGGCGGGTGAGCGGAGCACGGCCCGCTGCCCGCGCCACTCTCCGCACCAGGGAAGCGACTAACTGCCGCGCTTCCCGGTGGAACGGACTCTGTGAGATCCTGCGGGCCAGCAGCGTGACCTGGGTCAGTCCCGCCGCGTCCCGCCAGGTCTGAGGAGGAGGCGGGTACGGGCCCACCAGGGTCGGGGGCTGCGGGGTCGCCTAGGGACGGGAGTCCCCGAGTCTCACCAGGCGCCAGACACGCCGCCACCCCATCCAGGCGGCACCCTCACTCTCGGCAACGCCACGTTCAGACCTGCGGCTAAGTGCCGCGCTTGTTGGTGGAACGGGGCCCCCAAGAACATGTGGGTCGGCAGCGTGACCTGGGTTCGTCATGCCGCGCTCCAGCAGGTCTGGGGGTGGGACAGGACCAGGTCCGCCAACGTCGAGGGAGATGGGGCTGTCGATATGCCTGCTGTCCAGGTCCCCACCGAGCTCGCGACCCGCCACGCTGCCTCGAAGGCGCCCCAGATCCTCATCACCGCTCGCTCCAGGTATGCGACCAACCGCGGCGTTTGCTGGTGGACAAAGGTCTCGTGGGCCTCCCACCGCTCGGGCACGGTCTGGGTTGACTGACCCCAGTCTTGGGGAACTGGGGGCGAATCGCGGAAGCCGATCTCGTCGTCCAAGTGCGGCAGGGTCGTCGTGAAACTCAGAGTGGTCCTCACTTGGCCCTGGGGGTTCCAACGAGAGCGTCCCCAATCCCCTCCCCCCCTGGGTAACCGACAACCTTTCGCGAGCGCCGGGCATGCGACTAACTGCAGCGCGTTCTGGTGGATCAGGTGCGGCCCGCCCCCCTGGCAACCCGAATGATTTGTGACCTCGTCGACGAGCGCCATGGGGCAGGTTAGCGCAAGAGAGGTGGGTCTCCCGTCACAAGTAGGCGGGCTGGCGTTTGGGAAGCCCACGGGGGACCCATGGGCCGTCCTCCCAACAATACCATCTCCGCCTTCTGGTGTGACTTCGCTCGGCTGCACTGATTCCGTGCCCAGGTGATCCAGGTGATCCAGGTGATCCGCGCGCAGCGATCCTGCGTGTGGGGGGGGGGGGGGGGCGTTTGGGCGGACCCTCAGGCCAGTGCCCCCAGGTGGGTCATCAACACTCCCCGACCGCTTGGTTTCCACACTGTGCACTGCAATGGCTTCCACCAGGTCCCACCCCCCTCGAGCTCTCCATCGGGATCGCTGGCCGCGGCGGCCATGATCGCGGGCTGATCCCCGGCTGCTATCGGGCAAGGGCGGCCCGAGGCAATACGCAGCGATGGCGAGGCCGGGCCAGGTCGCGGGGCCCCGCGAGGCGCGGCGCTGCGTCTGGGCGCCCCCTCGAGACCGGAGCTCCCGGAGATGGCCTTGAGCCAGAAGCTACTGACAGAGCCCCAAAGAGGGGAAAAGGAGGGAAGGGTTCTGGAATCGGTACCTTGTCCGCCTCTGAGGTGACACGCGTCCTCCGACACCACCTGCTCGGATCCCACACGGGAGGCCTTGGATCTGCAGGCCCCGCGAGGCGCAATCCGACCGCCACCGATGAGAGCGGCCGCCATTCGGCGCCGCCGCTCACGAGGGGGAAGGGCGCGCGCCGCAACCCAGGTTTGCTGTGCCGCGGAAGGGGCAGGCCCGTGCCCGCCAGTGGTACAGAGGGGTGAGGGGCAACGTTTTCGGACGTCCTCGTCGTTTCGACGTTCGAGGTTTTCGAATGTTGTCGTCGATTATCGACGGCTTTCCAGCCTCGGGGCGCTCTCCAGCAATTGCGCCTCATCAACGCCTTGCCACGGGCACCCGGATCGTCCCGACTGGCCGCTGGAGATCCGAGCTACGACCCGAAAGCCAGGCGACGAGAACCAGTGGGGGGGATAAACCTCAGGGGGGGGGAAGGCATGCATGCCGCGACCCCCGATCGCCATTTGATCGCCGACAGGGGCCGGGTGGCCCACCCCGCCCGGGAACGTGCAGATTCGCCATCGGGGTCCCATCGCCGATCCCTCGGTGATGCATCGCCGATTCAAACTTGATGTCCGCCCCCCCTCAGGCCGCCCACCCCAAACGTTGCCCCTCAAGGAGGGGAGGCAGCATCACGACTCAGCGGGTTGGAGGCAGAGCGTCGAGAGCCGATCGGCTCGAGGGGGCGCCGAAGAAGGCGGCCCGAGGCGCGTGCATGGACGAGGGGCGGGCCACGAAATCTGGAAGAGTTCAGGGCTCCCGCCATGCCATCCGCATCCGACGTCGTGCCATGTTTCACAACGAGGGCTCCGAGTGGTCGACACCCCACCCCAAAGACAAGCTATTCATCCCGAATCGTCGTTTGATGATCCTGGGGCCCAGTGAGGGCCCCCAGAGACCGAGACTTGGGAAAAAAACCATTCCTCGTGTTTGTTTGTACGACGCGAGGATGTCTGGGTCACACCGTCTTCGACGCCCCGAGTGGAGAAGGACGAACACTTCAGGAATCATGTTCTCAAGAGACATGCGTGACTTGTCGTCGGAACATAGAGGGCCGCTCATAAGCCTGTCAGAGTATAGGCAATGTGGTAAGTAATGCGCAAGTGCGTTGGTAACTTCATGGTCTGAGAACAAGCGAGAGGGTGGCGTTCAACTGTTTGATTTAGGTTATGGTAAGATGTCACTGTTTCCTCTGCAAGTGTGAGCTCGTCGATTGCACGCTGCTAGCGCGCATTCCATAGTAACGTTGGCCTTCCTGGAACTAGCCCCCCCAAACGGAGCGCCGTCGAGCAGTATGGAGTTGCCCTCCACAAGTCTCCTAGATCTTGCCCCGATGTCTCTAACGAAATACCCCAAGCATCTTCACACGTGATACCAGAGGTGTCCGAGAAGCTTTCCCGAGGTATCCCGCGGAAGCTTCCCTGAGGAACCGTTGGAGAGATCCATGGAGGTATCCCACGCAGTATGCCAATAGGCATCCAAACATGTCCCCGAAACATACATATGCTTATCTATCTACTTCACATAAGGTGTCCCGGAGATTTCGAACATTATCCAACATGGTCTCCCGAGCTGTCCAAAGAACACCAACGTAAACGGACAAGGGTTGTTCGGTATGCCTCATGAGATATCAAAAGGTACCTTGAGATGACGACGTGGAGGTATCCCAGAACGGATCCCGAGGTACCCCCAGGCGCGGCACGTAAGATGAATCCCGCAGCACAGTCCAGAATATACACGGCTCTGGTCGAGTATGGAGGGATCTGGGCTGACAGTGGCCTGCTGGTACATGTGATGTGTCGAGCGTCAGTGTTTTAAAGGTGGTTGTGCTTCGTTAGAGGTCGTGCGTGACCGCTCTGGCCGCTCCGTAGGTGCGCGCAAGGTGTTGCAACTTGGTTGTGGATGTTGGCCGAGTGCGCGCGTAACTCATACTACTAAGCGTGGTAACACACGTGTGAGCTTTAACTCTACTCACAAACGTGCAACCGTTTTGGCAACGGTCTATCCAGCACAACATGGCACCGTTATGGTATAAGCTATTTTGCAAGCTATAACTTGAAGCTTGTGTAGTGCGTCTGGCGCAAATGGGTCCGCGGGGAGAGCTGCAACAAAGTGCTTGCAATACCTGGCGCCTGGATGCAACAGTTTGCGCGCTGGATGCAACAACTGCGCGTGGATACAATCGCGCAAGCATTCTCGCACACAGTGGTTGTCGCTCGTGCAATAGCTCGCGCCACCCCGCGATGCTTGCGTGCAGTCGCACGCAGTAGTACTCAAGTCATGAATGTTTGCCCCTCTCGCCGCCGACCCATCTGCGCCAGACCGGCCAGTACTCCAGCTTAGAATGACTCATGCTACACGTTCAAATGTCCACTGATTCCTGAAGCAGGCCTCAGGCCCCCGGGGCCGGCACGGCGCAGAGGGCGCAGGCCATCGAGGCCAGCAGCGAGGCGGAGTTCCTGCGCGCGGGGAGGAGGAGGGACAGAGGGAGGGAGGGTGGGATACGAGAACGGCGCCCGTGCAACACACTATCGTTGGACTCCCTCGAGGCCCCGCTCCAGCGCAGTAAAGTGCATACCTTCTCGGCTGCGAGTGCCGAAGATTTATGCACCGTACCTTCCTGGGCCGAGAATCAGCGACGCCTCAAGAGCCGCCAACGCGGTACGGTGCACACATGTCGTCCGCGGAAGGGAGAGAGGAGAGATAAGAAAGAGGATGAGGAGGAGGAGGAGGAGGAGGAAAGGGAGGAGGAGTGGAGAGAAGGAGGGGGAGGAGGGGGAGTGAGGAGGATGAGAAGGAGAGAAGGACTGGAGGAGAAATGGAAGGGAGGAAGGAGGGCCTTCTCTTACAGAAAGGATGGCGGAAGGAATAGAGCGGCTGAGCGGCGTTAGGGAGGAGGGCCTCCCAATCGTTGTGATTCCCCTCCAAATTCTCCTTTTCCTCCACCTCCTCCACCTCCTCCTCCACCACCTCCTCCTCCTCCTCTTCCTCTCCTCCTCCTCCTCCTCCTCCTCCTCCTCCTCCTCCTCCTCCTCCTCCTCCTCCTCCGCGCCGCGCTGAGGGCCGGGAACGGCACCTGGTTGCAGGATGCCGCGGTGGTGGCGCAGGCGCACGGCGTATCCACCCCCCGCTCCACCTGGCCGTCGCTGCAGAGGCGGGGCCGAAGGCCTTGCGACAAGCGGACTGGGCCCGCGCTGCGGTGCTGCCGAGGATCCGCGAGGCGGAGCGCGCGTGGTTCTGCGATCAACTGGGCAAGCTCAACGACAGCGGGCAGAGAGCGCGTTCGCTATCTTGCGGACGTTCGCTCGCGGCTGCGTCACGCACCGCCTCCGCGCCAATCTGCAGGGGGACTTGACGCAGCAGCTAGACCGAGTTCTCTTCGGCTGCCGCGAGCAGCTAGCCGGCGGACCCGTGGACGCCCCGCAACGTCTCCAAGCCACGCTGCGCCTCGCCGACGGCGGTCGCGCTTTCCCTTCGGCTACCCTGACGGCGCCCGCCGCGTACGCCGCCAGCTAGGCCCTCCTGCTCCACGACGTCATGAGGTGCCTCGGGGTCAACTCGCTGGGAGAGTTCCAGGCACGCTGCCCGCGGACGCAACGGACGCTCGACCAGGCAGAGGCGAGGCTCCAAGCTGCTGGCGTTCTGCAGGCGCCCTTTGACTGGATCGGACGCGCTGCAGACCCGCATCCGAAGCTACAGGGGCACTCGGCAAAACCTGCTTCCGAGGCCAACCAGGCGAAATTGCTGCAGGCGCTCGACGAGGACCACCGCCTCCGCTTTCGAGAGAACGGAGGCACCTGAGCAAGCACGTGGCCCCTCCCGCGCCAGCCGGGCGACCCCCGCCAGCCAGACGCGCACTTCTGCGGCAACCTCATGCGGCGGCTCTGCGTCCCGGTCTGCCCGCCCGGCTTCCGCTGCCAGCACCGCCGCGAGGATGGAAGACTCTGCAACGAGGCCCTCGACCCGCACAGCTGGCACGCAGTCAACTGCGACGTGGGCGCGTCTCGCAACCAGAGTCACAACATTTGCCGCGACTGGCACTCCGCGAAGCACAAAGAGCTCACAAGCTTCGCGGCGCCCACGGAGCAGGCCGCCCCTGCCCAGGGGCGAGCTGGTCCCCCTCGTCTCGTCTTCGAGACAGGGGGCCGGCCCAGCGACGAAGCCGCCAGCTTCGTCCGCAGCTACGGGGCCGACCTAGGCGACGGCGAGCGCTCGGAGCTGCTGGGCGGCCCCTGGCGGCAGATCAGCAGAACTCTCCAGAGGGGTAATGCTGAGATGCTGCTGAGCGCAGTCGGGCGCTAGGCGAGCAGCCCCCCGCCTCCGCTTGGTCCACAGCGACCGCCGCCAGCGCAGTGAACACTACAAGCGGCCGCGACCACAGCCACGACCGCCACCAGCACGACAACCACTGCCGCCACGACAACCACGGCGACGACTCTGAACACGACGACCCCCCCCACCACCGACGCCGCGACCAGGACCAGCGCGGGCACGTTCACCACCGCGACCACCGCCTACCAGCACTATGACCACGACCACGGCCAGCACGACAGCGCCATGACCACCACAACTGCCACTATCACCACTGACCCGGCCGCCCCCGCCCCTGGCCGCCCCTCTCCTTTCCTGTCCCTGCCCCTGTTGGGCCGCCCTTGCTGCCGCACGCGCCTTGCGCTTCGCCTCCGTTTCCTTCCTCGCCCCTCCGTTGTTTCCTCCGCCTTCCATAATTCAGCGAATTCTTGGAATTCACACTTAGCGGCGGAAACCACGGGGCCAAATCTTCAAGAGCTGTGTCTGGTGGGTGGCGTTTTTGGTGGCTGGGGAACCGGGACCATAAATAACCCCAACGCTCGGGGATCCCCTTGGTGACGGGGGCGGGGACCCACTCGGAAGCCCCCGGGCCTTTTTAGGGAGGGAGGGGAAGGAGTATGCGGAGGGAGGAGGGGCAAGGAGGGAGAAGGAGCAAGGAGGAGAAAGGACGACCTTCCTTTTGGCCTCCTCCACGCGCCCCCTCCCCTGAGGGAGGCCGCGGCTGTCCTCGAAGCCACCCGGCAAAGGCGGCCGCCGCCTGGTACCGGCGCCGAGGGTCCCGCCGGAGCAACGGCCTTCACGGCCTTGGCCGGAACAGCGGCCTTGGCGGGGGCGATGGTAGGGGCCGGGGCGGGAAGGGGCGGGGGAAGGGGGCAGAAAACTGGGAGGACGACGAGGAAGTGGAGGAGGAGGAAAAGGGGGAGTTCATGATGAGGGTGACGATAGGATAATGATGATGATGCTGATGATGATGATGATGATGATGATGTTGATAATGACGATGATGATGCTGATGATGATGACGAGTATGATGATGGCTATGATGATGATGTTGATGTTGATGCTGACGCTGATGGTGCTGATGATGTTGCTGCTGATGATGATCGTCATGATCATGCTGATGCTACTGATGATGATGATGCTAATGACGACCGATCGGGATGATAGTGATGCTGCTGCTGTTGATGATGATGATGACGGCGATGGAGTCCATGTTAATGATTATGATGAGGATGCTGATGGTGATGTTGATGATGATCATGTTGATGGTGATGATCATGCTGATGACGCTGATGATGCTGATGGTGATGATGGCGACAGATTGTGAGGATGAGGAAGATGCTGCTGACGCTGATGATGCTGACGATGATGATGATGATGATGATGATGATGATGATGATGGTGATGATGATGACAATGATGATGATGATGATGATGATGATGATGATGACGATAATGATGATGATGATGATGATGATGATGATGATGATGATGAGGAGGAGGAGGAGGAGGACGGTGATGGTGTTGGTGCTGATGTTGCCGATGATCATAGATAATAAAGGGTATGATGATACTGATGATGAAGATGGTGATGCTGATGCTGCTGCTGATGAAAATGATTATGATGCTGATGCTGCTGCTGCTGCTGATGATGATGATGATGATGATGATGATGATGATGATGATGATGATGATGCTGATGGTGATGATGAGGGGGAGTCGAGTCGAGTCAAGTCGAAAGCCTTGGCAACTGATGATCCCTGGTCTCGAGAGGCTAGGGCTCGTCTCGTCTGTCTTACGAGCTCGGATGCTGCTGGCAGCATTATCGGCATAGCAGTGGGGTCAGCCTACGGGTCTCGATGAGGAGGAGCAGGAGGAGGAGGAGGCGGAGGAGGAGGAGAAGGAGAAGGAAGGTGCGGATGATGAGGATGCGGATGTTGATGGCGAGGAGAAGGATGGATGTGAGGACACACGGAATCATAAGAAAGATGGGGACGTGGACGAGGACGATGATGAGGCGAAGGAGGAGGGGAGCGAGAAAGAGGAGGACCCTCCCTCTCCTCCCCTCCCCCTCCTCCCGAACCTCCCCTCTCCCAACCCTCATGCTCTCCCCTGCTCCCCCTTCCCACGTTTTCCCCCTGCTTTCCCCTCATCCGTCCTCCTCGTCCTCCTTCCTCTTCCCCGCCTTCTCTTTGTACCTCCTCCTGACGCCTCCCACGTTGCCCAGTCTTCCATTCCCATCCGTGGCACCTACTTCTCCACCTCCTCCCCTCCTTTTTCTTGCTCCTCCTCCCCCCCCTCCTCCTCCTGCTGCTCCTCCACCGCCCACCTTTCGCCGCGGATGGCGGGAGGCGGGGAAAAAAGGAGAGGTCCCCTGCCAATCCAGCCCTGCTTGTACCAGCGTCGCCGGTTCGTGGCTGTCTGTGCTGCACGGCGGCGGAGGGGGACATCGGATACGAGAATCATAAGCAAGCAATCGACGGCGAAGGCAGGCGGCCAGGGCTGGCGGGACGAAGCAGGCGGCCGTGCAGAGGGGAATGGGGTGTGAGGAGTGGGTCCCCCCCATCTCGTCCTCCTACTCCCCCTCCCCCTCACTTATGCCCCTTCTCCTCGTCATACTCCTCCTCACCGCCCTTTCCGTCCTCCCCCGCCTCGACTTCATCTTCGTCCGCGTCCTCGTCGTCCTGGCCCTCCCAGTGCTCCTTGTCCTCGTCGTCTTCGTCGGGCTCCTCCTACCCCTCTGACGATTCTTATGCCCGATTGGAATATAGTCCCACTCTTCCACTTGGCCGCGGCCCACACTTGTCGCACGCACTCTCGTCGACGCGCGAGCGGAGGAAAATGTTGCACTCGCCTCGGCGCCACGCGAATTTCGCCTGAAAGTGGCGTTCCAGCCTCGACGCGGAGCATGATCTGTCACTCGCCATTTTTGGGGGCCCGCGCGAGTGGGGGACCTGTCCCCTCAGCCCAAGGTTCGTGGGCATTTCGCTCCGAAGTGACGTCCCGCCGCAGGCGCGGCGCATGGCTCGTTCGCCGGAGCGTGCAAAAAACGTCAGCAGCAGCGTGGCCACGCGAGAGCGGGCGAAATGCTGTCCTCGCCCAAGCGCCGCGCAGCTTGTGAGTGGAACCGGCAATGCTGTGTCAGCGCGGCGCATTTTTCGTGTCCGCCGCGCCCATCAGAAGTTTTGCCGCTTCCGCCCCTCCGCGGCCCGCGTAACTGTCTCTTCGCCGAGTCGTCGGAAGCGTGGCCTGGCGCGAGCGCCTGCCGTCTGCGAGGTGGGAGCGCGTTCCAATTCTAACGCCAACTTGTGCAACGGCTATCTGCTATCTGTTCTGGCAGGGACGGTTGGAGCAGGAGGGGCCCTCTGGCTCGCTCGACCTGGCAAACTTGACACCCTCTCCTCCACCTCCCACTCCTCTCCTCCTCCTCCCCCTCCTCCTTCTATATCCTCCTTCTATCTCCTCCTCCTCCTCCTCCTCCTCCTCCTCCTCCTCCTCCTCTTCCTTCTCGTCCTCCTCCTCTTCCTCCTCCTGCCCGTTCCGCATCCTAACCCTCCCTTTGCCGCGTCTGGGCCTGCTCTGGCCGGGGCGTCTCGGCGCGGGTGCTGCACTGGGTGTCCACCTCAGGGCCGTCGGCACGAGCCGGGGGAATAGGAGGGGACAGCAGGAGGAACCAGAACCCAAATCGAGTCGTCAACGAAAAACCGAAACCACCGAAACCGAGTCGGGGCGGTCGAGCGAGAAAACCAACAGGCCTGGCCCGAGCGGGCTGCCTGCGCGGCGCAACGTTGCGCAGGGTGCATGGCTTCCCACGCGCCGCTACCGAACGGTAGGCGGCGGGGACTCACCCTGCACCTCCGGCGGCGGAGGAAGAGGAGGAGGAAGTCGAGAAACGTCCAACGTGCTCCGGAAACGCTTCTCCAGAGCACGTTGGCGGCAGGCAGCGGGGCGGGGAGGGGAGATGAGCGACGCGCCCGTTTTGGGGTGGAACCCCGAAAGCACCTTGGCCAGAGCAGCCAACTGTGCCTTCTTGAGGCGCCTCTCCCTCGAGAAGCCCATGCATACCGATCGAAGCTTGCACTTGGGGCACACGCGCAAGCGGGGTGAGAAGGAAGCACAGCATCGGCATACGAGCGTGTGCCCGACCTGCACCACCTGGTGGCCTCTCTCGGAGAAGCAGCTCATGTCGATGGGGGGGATCGGCACAACCACGCCCTCAGGCGGCTCACCCGACTCGGCCTCCTCCCCATCGACGTGAAAGGCGGACGCGGCCAGGAGCGCAAGCCCCACCGTGACCGTGGCGTCCGCTCCCTCGTGGAAGAAACGCCCCTACGCCTGGCATCCTCCAGATACAGTGCAGCCCCGAGCCTACGCTCAGGCGTGGGCTCACACAGTCCGTGCGAACGATTCCGAAGAGAGCGAAGCGTTAGCTCAGTGCATGCCGATCGATTGCATTCCTTGCAACGGACCTCGCCGGTGTCCGGGAAACGTACAAACTGGTGCTGAGACGAATTGAGAAGGGCCGCGCTCGGGCCGCTGGGAGGCCGTTGACCCCGCTCCTGGCTCCAGAGTGCAAGCTCTGCAATCCTGGCCACCGCAAGCCCGAGGAAGCGTGCGTGAGACTGCACGGCTCCGATTTGGAGATCCAGCCCGTCAACATACTTCTCTGGCAAGGCGTGGGAAAAGGGCTCCGAGGCGGGCAAAATAATCGGCCCATGCGTCCCCTTGCACATCTAACACCGAAATCCTTTTTTCCAGCGTGCCGCCAATCGTGAGGTGCGACGGGACCCAAGCGAAGTCGGGCACCGCTTTTTCCTCCGCAGCCTGGAACAGCGAGCGCCACACGCCTGGGTAGGTGCCCCTGGACGTGGCCAGGCGGGGGTTCCACCCTCGACCTTCCTGGACAAAACTGTGCAAAGCGCTGACAATGGGCGCCGTGCCCAGAAAGAGTTGCACGGCGCGAAGGCCCGCCACTCGCTCTGCTCTGCCTACGGACTGCAGGACCCCCGGAAGGCCTCCATACGCGGCTCTAATGGGCACACCGTGGATATCCGCCTGCACGCAGCTCCAGCCGCAGCGAATGCCCTCGGGAGCTCGGTTCCCGAACCCCGAACCGTCAGTGTAGACGACGCCTCCCCAACCCGCCCGATCAGACGACCAATCCCCCCACTGCTCAATTGGCAGAGAGCCAGGGACGGGAGCGGGCAGGCTGGGCTCGACAGGAAGACCTATCGTGATATCAAATCTGTCCCAGCACGCATCGAATCCCGAAAAACCTTTCTCTCCAGAACTCGCGCGTGGCCAGAGCAGCCTTGGAAAAAAAGGGGGCTCCTCCTCCTCCCCGTGACAAGCCAGGAGGGGGGCACAATCAAAGAGCTCGTGCCCTAGAGTACCCTGAGGAGCACCGCAGGCCAGGCACGCGGGAGAGGCGACCAGCCCATGGCGATGTTGCCGTTCTTGGGGCCAACACGCTCCTGGCCAGAGCGTTCGCAGCCCGCCAGCCGCTACGCGACGGGCCCCTCCTTTGCTCCAAAGGCAGGCCCTCAAGCACCGGTGCCACAAGCGGAGACCCCCTGGATTGTGGTCAGAATGGTGCTCGAGAATGCGCCGATGCTGCCAGCGCTCAAAACCTGCCATCAAATACTGCTTAAAATCTCTCGGGAGGGTGGTGAGCAACGAATGCGCAGTCCCCAGATCATCCTGGACAAGAATGTAGGAGACCATGGACCACCCGACTCTCTTGAGAGTGGGAAAAACACTGGAGAGCGGACCCCGGACCCTTCGCCACGCAGGTCTGGCCAGCAGGCGAGGCTCCAAACGTCGCCAAGCCCTTTCCAATTTACCGAAGGGGAAAAACTGGTCCCAAATAACACGCACATATTGCATGACGGGCTCAAGCGTGCAATGATATATAGGATCGTAAAACCGATCTTTCTGGGTGGCCAAAAACAAAGTGGTGCTGCTGCTGCCCCCCCTTGTTCCTACAAGGGAGGCGGCCTTGTGCCGGAGCTCGCGCAGCCGTGCATCTGGGATCCCAGAGACGGCCGCTCCATGAGCGGCCGAACTGAGAAGGCCAGTCCTCCACAAGCCGGCAACTTTAGAAACGACGGCGCTCCGCAGAGAAACCACTCTGTGCCGGCGCTGCCGAAGTCTCCCAGACCGGACCCCCTCCCACTGGCGCCTCCGACCCGCCCCAGGAAGCTCATGTCCAAGGTTGCGCATGCGCCGCCGATTTTTGACCTTGAGCGCAGACGCACCCAAGCAAAACCCTTTTGCCGCCTTGAGCGCTGCAGAGACAAATCCGCTCTTGGCGGGCCGGAGGAGAAAACCGAGGGGCTTCACCTCCTCGCAAGCAAAAAAAACACGAGCAGCCCGGAGCAATGCGCGTGCCTCTTCGGCTCGCTGGCCCAGCCATTGGAGACTGACGTCGTCGATGAAGGACCTCGGGATGACCGAATCCGAAGTCAATCTGGCGCGATGCAGCACACGGTACGTCAACACTGCAACCAACGTCGTGGGATGCGTGCACCCCGCCAGCACCCCCTGCCAGGAGCGGTAGGTCAGACTGCAACAACCATAGGCGCGCAAGTAACGAGGTTCTGCGAAGTAGGCCAGCAGCATCCACAGCAGGCGCAGCGGGAAGCAGAGGGCCCTTGCCTCCGCGAGCAGGGCATCTGGCCTCAAAAATCCGAAACACGTGTAGGCGTCGTAGAGGACGGTCACCGAGTGGCCCCCGAGCAACGTCTCCGTCTCAGCATGCAGGTTGTGCTGGAAGGTCGAGTCCGAGCTAGTCTTGCCAAGACCTGCAGTGCCGAACATGAACGGACTGGGATGCCCGGCCAGCCACGTCGCGGACAATTCCTTGCGCATGCGACTCCACACCCGCACCAAGGACTGCACCAGCGCGATCACGCGATGACCGCCGCCATCCTCGGCAACAGGACAAGCTCATTCAGGATCCGCTGGGAAGGCCAGCGCAGCAGCGTCTCACAACGCCGAAACAGCACAATCAAAGCCACGTCCGACAGGAACGAGAAAGTCCGAGGTGAGATGCGCAAGTGCCCCGAAGCCGTGGGCCAAGAGAAACTCGCCAGAGCCGCCCTGAGCTGCTCCACCGACACGTCAGGCGGGCCGTCCCAGGAGGACGCATCCGAGGGCAGATGCAGCGGCTCCACTTCATGGATCCTCCAGATCTCCTTCCAGTCCTCCATGGCATCGTGCACTAAGGCGGAGGGGGAAGCATCCGACCTGGCTTCGATGACCTCCTGCAGCGCCTTGACCTTAGAGGCCCGGTGCGCACCGCGAGCCCCATGCAGGAAGGCTTCGTGAGCCCACTCCACCAACTTGGCCTGGTTGACCTTCCGGGCCTTGGCCTCCAGGTCGTCGGCCTTCTCGACGATGGCGTACACCATATCCTCACAATCGCACCTGAGCAGGGCATGCCCGCTTTCCGAGAAGAAACCCACGGCCCACGCCCCCAGGTGCCGCAGGTACCTGGGGCCGAAGATCTTGTCAAAGATCTTTCCGAGTTCATCGAGCGCCCCGGCGATCTCACGGTGCTGAGCGGCAGTGCCAGGCCCTGCCACTCCGCGCAGGCGCTGCTGGAGGGACGCACGCGCAGCCATCAAGTGCTTGGCCCAGCGTGCCGCGCAAGCCCAAGCGTGCGTGGCAGCGTCAACCCCACAGCGCTTCTCAGGCGGGGCCCAATGCAACTTCACCCACTTGAAGCCGACATCGCCTGCCCGGCCACTGTACCGGCGAAACTTGTCACCAACCAGACGAACCTGCCCAGGAGCTCGGCCCCCAGCCCCGCCAGGACGGTGTCCCACGCCTTCTTGAGGGAGGCGTCGTCGGTAGCCGCCTTGACCACGTCCTGGGTGAGATGCCACGGCCCCGGCGGGCGCCCGCAGCCCGGCTTGGGAAGCGAGGGAAGACGCCTCGGCTCGCCAAGCACACGGAGCCAGACATCGCGGTCCTGAGCCAGGAGAGGAAGTACCACGGGCTGGTGAGGAGCCAGATGGGAGTCCTCGGACACCTGCGGCCTCCGCACTCGACTGGCCAGGCTGGCAGAGCACACGAAGAAGTCAATGCAGCTGGAGCTTGCCCCCTGCCGGCACGTGGAGTCCAGCGGCGTTAGGATGATGCCCTGCAGCGCGTGCGCCCAGTCGATCCCCAGCCTGCTCGACTCCATGTTGAAGTCGCCAGCCACAATCCAGTCGCAGCCATGGGCCGCCACCGCGGTGATGCTGCGGCAGAGCTGCGCCACCAGGTGTTGGTTGACGGCGCCCAACCCCTCGCTCGTGAGGAAGTAAGCGGAGAACACCACCAAGCCCCCGGGCACTCCCCAGTGAACGTGGGCAGCGCATATCCTGCCTGGCTCCACGACGTGGGACTCCAGGCCCTTGGGCACCGCCACGGCGATGTATGGCTTGGTGACTATGCCAACTCCGCCCGCGGTTCCCTTCCCGCTGTCGGACGGCGCGGCAGGAGCCCACAGTCCTCGGTAGCCCAGGTGACGCACCTGGTCCTGCAACTCCCCGAGCCGATCCTGCATCCTGCGCCGCAGCGGCCCGTGCGAGGAAGTGTTGACCGTGACGATCTGGCCCTTGGTCGTCTAGGGCC